GTATACTAAATCCAAACAATTACGTAGCTCTAGCAATCATCTTCACTGTGATACCAATACACACACTTCAACACATAATAGAAGACACCAAAAAACAAAAAAAAAATTATAGTTGTTATTGCAGGATATGAGCAAGGCTTATAACTCAATACATATACCACTCTTAATCAAAGCTTTATATCATATTAAAATACCAGAACTTATAACAAATATTATAAACAATATACTGTCCTATAGACAAAATAATGTTATTACAAACTATAGACTAACTAACAATTATTATGTTTAAGATAGTATAAACAAGAGAGAACTATAACCTTACTACTATGAAGGATATATTATGACTCCTTGTTAACTCAGATTAATAAAAATTACTCCACCTAAGGTAAGGTGGGGTATTGTGACGAAGTTAAAATTTCTACTAACAAAACTTCAAATTTAACATATAAATTATTTTTTTTTTATTTTAATATAAACTGCGGCTCATTATAGAACAGATTCAATATAAATTATCGTGGTTTAGCAAACCAGTTTGGATGTACAGATCGTTTTGTGTACGGAACACAAAAGTCAGATTTTAGGGTAGTGGGGGGTATTGTGATGAAATTGAAAAAAAAATTTTTCACTTAATTACATACGTATGTACATACGTACGACATAATTTTTTTTATTTTTCAAACATTCTAAGTATTCTATTTATTTATTTTATCACTTTTTAGTGTTTTAGATTGATGCTCTTCTCTTTCTCACTTTTTTCGTTCATGCTCTTCCTTTTTTTGCTTCAAATTACGCTGCCGTTCGATCTTTTTCTGGGCCGCTAATTCTTTTTTCTGTTTAGCTTTTTCAAGTTTTTTTTCAGCTTCTTCATTCGCCTCTTTCAACTTTTGCCAACTTTTATTGTTGGTGAGAAGTTGTGCAAATGGAAGTGTCTTTCTTTTTTTAGAAGAGGGGTCAAGTTCTTGTCGAATTTCTGAAGGAATATCCAAAGTTTCAGCTTGCGGGGCACGAAGAAAATTATACCTAAGAACGGAACGTAGGGAACTTGTTCCAGGGCTTTTATAGGTTTCTAATTCTTCTTTGGTTGCTGTAAATTGAGCTATTAGTAATTCAATCTCATTTTTAAGTATTTCATTTTCTGTTACTAATTGGGTGAAATTTGTGCGAATATAATGAGAATTTGGTTTAGGAGTCGATTGTGAGAGTAACATGATAGGTTGTGAAGACTGGCTAGATGAAAGTGCAATGATGAGTTGTGAAAATTGACTAGACAAAGGTACAATGATAGGTCGCGAAGGTTAATCAGACGAAGGTACAATAATGGGTTGTGAAGGTTGTGAAGATTGACTAGACGAAAGCATAATATCAAATCGTTCTGTTGCTAG